ATAATTGTGCTTGGGGTTGGTTTTTTTCTGACGTATTTCGACTTTTTAACTAGCCATTTTTGACGGAATTTTTTTTGTATCATTCGAAAGGTATTATTGGCCTGAGCTCAAATTTGAAAAGATATTTCACCTGTGATAATTTTTCGTAAAGTTACGGGGGTTTAAAGATTGCCATATTGGCCGATTTGGTTCAACTAACGCGCGATCTATTTTGCGCTATTAACGCGTAAGTGGAGAGTTAATCCGTCTTAGAAATTGTACCAAATCAGTTGAAAGAAGCTTGTTTGCCATACTTGATTTGTTACAAGGAGCGAAATCTATCCTTTTGTACTTTATATGGCGTGTGGAGAGATGATTTTCATTTTAAAAAAATTCAAATTTAAGAAAAAAAATCATTTTTTTATTACATCTATTTTCCTAATGTTATTACTGCTCCATAAACCTTAAAAGGCAGTCGGAACATTCAGAGCTTCGCCCTGATACGAGCAGTCTTGTTATCTTTGGAAGCAGTATCTAATACATTTGAAAGGTTTTGAGAACAATAAATCAATTAAACATTTCGAAATGTTCTTCAGTGCCTTTAGGCAATTTATTGCATAGAAAGAACAGTCCGCATGATCTAATGTCTCCTTAAGTGTTTTTCATTAAAAACAGAATTTCGTGGTAATCATTTCGTGGAACCATCAGGTAATCATCAGAATTTCGTGGAAAGTTCGTGGTAATCATTGCAAAGATGTCTTTAAGATATCGATCAACCGATGTCTTTTATCGGAAAACTTGGGCCAAAATATGTCAATTGGCATGATATGATTCACTTAATTCATTGTCTATTATTGTTACATGTTTTTGTGATAACGGAGTAGATATTTATTAGAACTTAATACAGGATTGCGTACGACGTTTGCTTGCTTGCTTTTTAACTTCCTTCTTCCTTCTTCCCCAGAGAGCAGTTGAAGAATATGTGAAACTGCATTTGTATATCCTGAAGTCTCAGGGAGTGTTTTTCAGAACTATCCAAATTGACATCAGTTGTTTTCACAATGGTTCTCCCATCTTGTCATGAGAGGGCGCCGTTCCTGATTTTCCGTTCTCGTATTGGTCGCTGAAGTGGGTGAGGGTGTTTCGGTTCCTCAACTAGGCGTTCGAGTAGCACTATTGTTTCAGAGTTCACTTGCTGTCATATTATTAGGTTGATTACTCTTTATTTGTGGCTGCCTTTTTTTCTTAACGTAGTGCTTCTTCTTAACAAGTGACTTTTGGGTCATACGATGATCTCTACGAGAGGGAGTTTATCCCCAATGCTGTTTTTTTACTGACTGGGCCATGCAATAAGAGTTTATTTTGGGCATCCTAATATCGATAATGATCTGCATTTCTCATTTGTATCCAGAAGTACGTTGCTAATAGGTGGAATTATCTAAACCAGAACGTAACAGTCAATTCGACTTTAAGTGGATAATCGTTACCATTTCAATACAGTTTTCGATAGAATTTAGAATGGCAAGTTAGAATCAAAGTACCCTGAAGTCTAGACTTAACATCAAAACGACGATAAAAAACATAACAACGACGAGTTTTTGTCTAGAGGTATCACAAAAAGTTGTCTGAAATTTTGTTTCTCAGTACAATCTCGAGCTAAGAGCGAGGATACGATGAATAATTCGCAAGATAAGTGATAACAAATGCCATCAAACATTATGTCAAAATTAGAGTTGTTTCGATAGTTTGTGGAAGCTATTTGTTCCTACTTTTGCAACGAAAGTAACCAAATACTTGTGCTCGGGGTAGTTTTTTTTCTTCAGAAAAATTTCGACGTTGTAACTGAAAACTTTTGACAGAATTTTTTATATCAGTTGAAAGATAATTGTTGTTTCAAAATCAAATTTGAAAAGATATTTTTTCACCTGTGATCATTTTTCATGAAGTTATTAGGGTTCACATTTTGCCAATACGGCCAATTCGGGTAAATAAACATGCGTTAAGCTTCGCGCTATTAACGCGTAAGCACTGATTTAATCCCTCATATAAATCGATCCCCAATTGGTTGAAAGATGCTATTTGTCATACTTTATACATTACTAAAAATTATTGTAATTTTTTTCTTTTTTTTGAAAAATTTATATTTTTAAGGCGAACACTGCTTCATAGAACTTGAAAGACAGTAGACCATATAAGGCTTTGCCCTGATACGAGCAGTTTTGTTTCTATTTATGCCACACTAAAAATCGTCGAATCATTTGTAATAAAATTTAAAACTTTGGGCATATATTTTTTCAACGTATATTGCAAAACAAAAGCAGTTTGAATGGTTTTTATAATGGAAGTTCAATTTACTCATTTTTAGCGTATATCATAATCTCAATAATCTCAACAAAAAGAGTTTTTTCACAGGTTCTAACCATAAAGCAAAAACAAAAACGTTATAAAAAAATGATACTTTAATTTTTTCCGAATATATTTCCGCAAAACTTAGAGTGGTCATTAGTGGTGAACCAAATGGTGTTGAATGTAGTGGAACCAAAAACTCGAAAAACCTTCGAAGGTGATCTGCGTGTATGAGTTGCTTACACTAAGTATCCAAGACTCACTACTTTGGCGAGGGAAATTTACTGTATGCCATTCTCGATTACCCCGTCTAAAATTGTTTTCAGCAGTGCTTGAAACTTTGTTAGCAAGAAGAGGGCAACGCACCCTGGAGATCGCGTAACATGCAAAGTATTCTGCATGATAACTAGAAATGTTTCTTTTGAATACGGATTTTCAAATATTGTTTGCTCAATCAAAAAATCCAATGTAATACCGATTGTTCCATCGTTCGACGAATGTTCAAATGTTGTTGAAAAATCATCAAAAGCTATTTTTGAACAAATGTTGCACCACTGGTGCTGATCTACTCAACATTTGTGAAGTTATTCATTTTTTACTGAAGCCATGTATCAAGCAACCCCTGAAAAAATACAAAATGTTCCAATTAATTTTTTTATCTTAAAAAGAATCTTGGGTGCAACGCTGTTCGCTAATTGCACAACAATAGCTTATATTTGTTTCGGCTTTTTATTCATTATTCGTCATGCTTATTGATAAGAAAAACTTTTTTTCTAACAGTGTAGCTCAATTAGATCAACCATGGGCTCGGGCGACAACATTGGCTGAAAAAAAAATATGTGCATGTTTTGTTGTAATTTTGCATAAAAATACAGATACCACAATTAAAATAACGTCCAGTTTTACCGAGCTGTGTGATATACTCATCGAAATGTGATCTTTCTATTTTAGAAGAGATCAAACCTTTTTTTTTGTTTTTTATATTTTTTCACTAAAACTTCCTCAATTGATGCCTTATTATTTTCGTTCTCAAATTGTAGCAAAGATGAAAAATTCTTGACCTTTCCTGACATATTATTTGAGTATTAGGTGTAAATAACAGACGTTTTGATACGAGCGAAGCGTAATATTATAAATTTTGGTCATTTCAGTTGACTCTTGGACAGCTTCATGGAATAGCTGAAGATGACTAGAAAAAAATATGAAACAACTGCACCACAGACCAAATATCGGATAAAACTGGAACATTCAAATGCAGGGGCGGATTTAGGGGGGGGGGGGTGGAGAGACGCGCGCTAAAAAACGCAATTTTTTGGTCTCTTGTTTTTTTTTCAAAAATTCGCCTGCGGCACAAACTTTTTGGTCAAAATAGTGTCTTTTCAGTATTCTGGGAGTGCTCGAAAAATCAATTTGGTAAGCCTAAAAAAGCCGAGAAAGCCTCGCAGTCGGGAAAACTTCTCGGTCTCGTTCGAACTCAATCGAAGTGTGTTTCTTCGGTCAAACTTGTTCGAAATATTTTTCGTCGGTCAAACATAGTCAAAACATAGACACCTTGTGTCGGGTCGGTCGAAATATATCAAGCCTGGGTTGAGTCGGTCGAAACATCAGTTGCCAACCCCGACCCGGGTCGCGCAAAATCACACAAACTGCTCTGATCGCGCAAAAACTGCAAAATATTGTTTTTGAATTCCGTAAAGTCGCAAAATATATTTTTTTTTGGTCGGGCAAAGTCGCGCAAATATTTAGGTTGCGCAAAGTCGCAACATGCCCATTCTGAACCGAAATGGTCGCAACATACATGACTTGGGTCGCAATGGTCGCAACATACTTATTTTGAGTCGCAATGGTCGCAACAACTCGACCCGGGGATCGAAAGAATTTTCGAAAACTTTTTGAAAATCCGTTCCCCTCGAAATAATCGTAGAGTTGTCCCTGTTTAAATGTTTCCTAAGTCCATTGTTGATTTATTGTACTCTCAAAAAACAGAAGTGGTAATCAAATAACAATTTTTGTAGCTGAAGCCTGCTTTTTTCCACTCCCCTTCACATGGCTTCAGTCACAATTTCCTGAAAAGTTATCCTTTTTTGATGAATCATTTAGTAACGTTAGATGATGTATGCACCGGGCAGTTTTCTTTTAACGCGCCAAATAGAGTTAGTTCCATCACAGCAAATACAATCGAGTGATGAATTTTTTCACATATTAGATGGGTAAAGTTCACAAGTTTTGTTTTTGATCAATCGGCCCTGAAGTTCATTTAGCGTTTTTGGGAGAGAATAAGTTGGGCTTTTGAAGTTTTGGGAAGGGTCGGAAAATACATTTGGTTCTCTCATCCAAAAAATCAACCGACGAAGTGTTTTAGACATAGTAAACGATACAGTTCAAATCGATTAGTCAGCTTCATTTCCAGTAAGAATATTCTCACCGATTGCGTCTTTGGTTATAAAGAAAAACTGAAAATTCCAGCCTATATAACAGTTCAATTTGGTCGAATTGGTTCGAAAAAAAGATCTCAGGTGACATGTATTTTTCAATTTGACTTCTTTTTACGATGCGTATATGATCCGTTGAATGCTTGTGGCGAGAAAAGAAGATACAGATGAAGGGCTTATGCTCGTGGCTTGAATTGATCTATTATTATTGAACGGCATCACCTTCAAAAGGAGACCAAAAAATTTTAAGATGAATTTAATGATAAAAACAGCTCAAAGAACATAACTGGTGATAGAATAACAATTTTTGTAACTGAAGCCGGCTTTTTCTACTCCCCTCACATGGCTTAAATCACATTACCATGTGTTGCTGAAAATCAAAATCGGGTTTCTTTCTAAAGACTCGTCGCCACCACATTCGTGTCAGCTTAAAACCTTTTCGGGGACCTCCACATATCCAGGGTTGATCAGGGCATATTACATTCTTTTTGAACCATGGAAATGTGATGAAATACCCAGGGTTGTCATAGTGCACTTTGGGCGTCCAGTGATGGCCTACTTTCAGTATGTAGGGAAAATCTGGCTGTTGATCTCCAAAACCATCAAAATTGTGAGCTCGTTTAAGTTCACCAGTACCAAATCCAATTTTTATGATTATGTTTGCCTCACATTCCAACGAGTAATAGGCCATAATATAGTTCAGTTGTTTTCCATCTTCTGAGTAATCAGTTGATTTTTGGTAATATTCTTTCGGTGTCATCATCGCCTCGTAATACCCGAACGTGAAATAGTGACAGTATTGACCATCTGATCAAAACAAGCATGAATAGCAAATAGATCTTAGAGAATTTCTGATACCAATTCTGCATTTTCATTTCGAAAAAGTATAATTTATGCAGATCCACTCTTTCAAATGGCGCTCCACTCCGTTTATCTGGATATTACTCTTAAAAATGTAATGGTTTTGAAGTTTTTTTGGACAAGTTATTGTGGAGTTATAAGAATACCTGTTATAATCCTCTCGTTTAGCATATTGGGATACTTAACTTAATTGAATTGTTTATTTTTGAGCTAAATGCTTCAAATTGTTTAGATCTGTCTTCTTTTTTCTAGATTACTGTAAGTGCAACAGCCATCATGAAACACAAATAGGTTATGCTGGCTGATAATAGGCTCAAATAGTGCTGCACATTCTCTCTGGGCTGATAATTTCGCTCGTGTTAATTGTCGGAAGGCATAGTTGTCATACCTAGAAAACGAAGCGGTTTGGTTTGCCTCCAGACCTCCAGACCGAAACAACTGCTTCTATAGATTTTTCAACCTATGAAGATAGGGATGATCATAGAAAATGTTTTCGAGGTGCAATCTTCAGCCATAAACATATGGACGTTTCAATATTGTCAATTTGCATATCGTCAAAAACCGTTAGCCAGGCGGCTCAGAAACTGCCCAAAATAAGTCAAATTTAGCTAATTGATCAAAAAATAGTTGTAGTATTGCAAATGCTACTCAGACATAACAGACAATCGTTTTAATTGATTACTTAAGATTAGAGTATACTTCTTGTCGAATATCAAATACGAGGCCCAACTGTTCACTGGATAGGCGCACAATTTTGTGTCTGTATGTTTCTGGATTCCAGAGACAAATCTTTAAACATGTTCCAAAATGTAAGTGGATTCCACTTACAAAAGTTTCGTGGGTTCCGCGTACAAATAACTGTAACGTAAATCTAGTCTGCACATTTGTTTTGTTGCGGATTTAGCAACAAGCAAATATAGCTAGTTGTTCTGGATTCCGCAAAATTCAAGTGAAATCCAAAAAACGTAAATGAAATTTGCAAGTGAAAGTGGAATCCGCAGACAAATGGCGGATTCCACTTTTAATTCGCGAATTCCGCTTGCAATTTGCAGATTGCGTTTTTAGTTACGGATTCCACAACAGCTCAATGTAACTATACCTTTGTCTTATTATTTGTTTGTGAATTCCATAAACTGTTCCGGATTCCGCAAAAACAGTTGCGGATTTTGCAAATTCACCTAATTTTGGAGCGATTTTGAGCGGTACAATGTAATAATAATTTGTTTGTGGAATCGAAAACGGCAAAGAAGATCAAAGAAAAGTAGCAATGTTGCAGATTCCTCGACAAATCTGATTTTGCTTGTTGCGGAACCTGCTAGCAATGCACAGAATGCACAGTTTGGCATTGTCATATCAGCTGACCGGTTAAAATGTTCTGCCTTGAAAATCAGACATTAAAGCGATGAGCAATCGGTCTTCTTAGAGCCTAACAAAAAAAACAAAGAAAAAAACACTTGCAATTCAAGGACGGAATGAATAAAGGCTTTTTAATATTGAAAACGTCAAATATGAGACTACTAAAAACTTTCCGAAGACGATACGAACAGATTTGAGACAGAAAACCTATGAAAGAAGTTTTTATAAATTTAATGAGATATGATCTTAGAATTTTTATAAGTTACGGAAAAACAAAAGCAGCAGTACAGATCTCGAAGAACTGATCACCCAATACTCTGAGGAACAATAGGTGTCAAATCGATCAGCAATATAGACACGGGCTACAGGCAAATGAAGGTTAGTTTAAATGTAAAAATGTGGTATTGACCCCATACCTAATGGTACTAAAGACAGTTGTTCCTTGAACTGTTAAAACAATTATTTTTAAATATCCATTGTACAAATTCATACTCTTTTCTAACTATTTTTTCTACTATTACTTTTGTCAATAAATTTGACGATCTAGGTGAGACTTTTAACTTAGGCTAGATTACTAAGCAAACAACCAGCAGTGTGCGCTTGATGAATAGTACGGGACAATTAGTTTGGATAAACGGCTTTCATTTTTTCTGAATTATAATTTTTTTTCTGCAGGTGATTTCTGCTTAGTGATATTATAACAGCTGATAACCGATATTTGATCAAATAATTAAATTGACCAAAAAAAAGTTTTTTTTTACATTATTGTTTATGAGTTTAACCTGAGTTTGCTGCTTAATATTGCGCCAGCCCACGCTTTCCCCAAGCCTTCAGATAACTCAAAGTTTTATAAACATATAGTTTTTTATTTAAAATTGTTTCAAGCGGTATGCGTTGGCAAAAGATCAGGCGCTATGAGGAAGATTTGAAGGAAGTTGACCGCAATTACATCCTTGTCAGCCCAACGATTCCCCGTCTGCTACCCTTTCGGAAATGCGCCTTTGAAGATTTTTTTAACGGCATCTTTGTCGCCAAAATTTTCTACAACAACTCCAAAACAGTTTCAAAACAGTACTGAAAAGACTTCTTTAGTCTTTCAGAATTTGTCAGCGGCGCAAAAAAAAATTGGCACAATTGACGGGGAGCGCGGAAAATTGAAATTTTTTGCACCTCTCGACAAATTGTGAATCTGCCGATATGCGCATCCTGAGCCTTTGAGCATCAGGCAGAAAAAATTAGTTTCCGTTTTCTATGCCATACTTAATGATACATTGTTACCAGAATTTAAAACTATTTGTGAGATGTATAAAAATATTTTCAGATCACCGCTTCTGCAATAGTCATACCTTTCGCTGGTTCCAAAATATTGATAGGATTTACTATAGTTGTTTCCATGATCAGAAACAAATCCATTCAGGCAGTAATAAATACTGTGAAGTCTGCAGTATGACCACAACCTGTTATAAATAGGCGCAATGGGAATAATGAATGTTAACGATGTCCAAGGAGCTTCATAAGAAGTATTTACAACTGTGTCCATCAATTGACAATCACGAGTTGGCAATAAAAAGCAGGTCATTACGATCAAAACGTAATTCTTTTTGGTTATCATTTGGTAGTTCATTTTGAACAGATCATAGGATAAACTGATTGGAATTTAAAGATAAATTGTTAAAAGTTTTATTATAATGGACAAACAAACCAACCATCCATGACCTATTTGCCTAAAGAGCAAGTTTCTCATACCACTTAAATCGTTTTTTTTTACCATAGCAAACTTCCAAAGAGCTAACTCATAGAATACTTTCTGTCTTAATACATGGATGTTTGTCGCCCTATCTCCTTTCGGCTCGGTGGGTTGGTGCAACTCCTTATTCCCAATAATAAGTCTAAGTCCTACTCTTGAAATCTTTTGGTATAGATAGATCTGCGGAAAAATTGATTTTAGAAGTTTGATTGCGAGGTCAAGTTTATTCCAATTAGCCGGTAAAATGATCTAGCTAAAAGTTTACAATCAGAATATAGGGGTTAGTAGATGGATCATATTTTCGTGCATATACAAAACAGACCCATACAAAACAGTCCAATACAAAATAGTCCCAAAAACCATGTAATGGAGGAAAAAACAGTCCAATACAAAACAGTCCGGCTTAAGGTCGCCGGTGGGCGCGCTATGCGCGCGTCGCCGCTTCGCGGCGATAACCGGCTCTAAATTTCGTATTAAGTCCTACCCTCTGTTGGCAAGCTCGCAACAAGTTGGCGCGACTGCGGCGGTCACTACTTTGTTCATTATGCTTGTTGAACAAAGGAAGTTTCTCGGCCTTCCGGCTTGTTAAAACAATTATTAATTGGGACTGTTTTTCGGACTGTTTATTCGTTCATTTTCATACTTTTCCGGACTGTTTTGTATTGGACTGTTTTGTATGGGACTGTTTTGTACAGACACACATATTTTGTAAGTTCAAACTTTTCACGGAGATAAAACTGCCAGTTTGATTATACAAAACATTAGAAGCTGAAAATAAGTGAAGATCAAATAAGAGTTTACCACGGAAAAACCAGTTTTACTCAAGTTTAGCACCCTTAGCGCGGTAAAGTAACAACTTGCTTTCTCAGACACATAATAGTGGTGATTGTTGAGCACAACGATATGTGTCTTTAATTTGAATATTACTTTTACCACAAAAAAGTAAGTCTTTTGAAAATTTTGTACAAAAGTCTGTCTGAGTATGAGATTATCTGTCAAAAATTTCTAGTGAAAAACTCGGAATTTGTCTGGAGAAAAAAAACACTCAATTATTCCGTCACTTTATACAAGACTGCTCGTAAACCAGGACAAACCCTGAAAACTCCGACTGCCGGTATCAGATAGTTTTTGATAAACTATAATTTTTGTACTGCCATTATTAATTGCACAATTTCTAATTGCAAAAATTGGCCGCAATACAATTTGGAAGGATTAAAAGAGCGGATTATTTGCTTATTGAAACTTTCAAAATATGGCTCGAGCAGCTATGCAGGCAGCTTTTTATTCTGGTACAAGCACTCTCTGGGCCATCCAACTATTTTCGGATCGTTATCAATACGCGGTCAGTTTTTGTAAAAATGGTCTGAGTTTGGAAAACCATCCGAGGCATATAAAAAACTCGTTTTCATGGTAACTCGGAGCTATTAAAAAACAGTCAGAAGCTGTGAAACGAGAACAGTCAGAGTTCGTGGGAGTAAAAAAACCTAAACTGACTGTAGTAATAATAACGGTTAACAAGATTGAAGATTCTTTCCGAATGCCGCTTAATTCCTGTCCAATCGTTTTTGGGAAAACAAAATATTGAAAAGCTATTTGGGCAATCTCAAAGATCAAGTGTGAAAACTTGAGTCGTAAAAAATTATTGCGACAATTTATCCAGAATCAACTCAATTTGGAACGAAAAACAAAAGACTGCTCGTACATCAGCGCAAAGCCCTTAAGGTTCCGACTGTCCTTTATTTCATTTCGAATAGTTTTTGGGAAACGAAAATATTAAAAACCTATATTTTTTGAGCTATATCAAAGTGTGACATTTTGAGTCGTACGAAATTAGTACGACCAATTAGCGAGCCTCAGTTCAATTTGGAACAATATTGTTGTGCGGGATAGTTCGCCACGCATAAATTATTCGCGTTACGCTCTCAGCATTATGAATAAACTCTTCAAAACGCGCAGCGCGCGTAATTTAGTCCAGAACATGGCAATTTGGCAATTTTTAAACCCCCAGAACTTTACAAAAGATAATCGCAGGTAAAAAATCATTTTGAGTTTGAACTCATGAAGTCAATATCTTCAATGATGTGTAACAAATTTTTCTCGAAAACTGTTATTTCGACCGGAGCAAAATGACTAAAGAAAAAAACCACAACGCTCATAAATATTCCGTTTTCTACAAAAGTCGGATCAAGAAATTTCTTAAGCGGCATAAATTGCCACGCATAAAAAATTTGAGTTCCGTTTTCCGCATTATGAAAAAAATCTTCAAAGCGCACATAAGTTAGTTCACAGGATGGCTCTTTTCAAACAGCAGAAATTTGCAAAAAATAATCGGAGATGAAATAGTTTTTGTACATTTGATTTTGAAGAGTCAATATCTTCAATGAACTATGAAAAGTTTTCCTTGAAAACTATTAATTCGACTGGCTGAAATTGACCAAATAAAAACCGCACGCACTATGAAAAAAATCTTCAAAGCGAACATAATTTAGACAACTTTCAAACACCAGCAATTTGCAAAAATTAATCGGAGATGAAATAGTTTTTGTACTTTGGCTTCGGGGAGTCGATATGTTCAATGGGGGTATAAAAAACTTTTTGTTAAAAACCATTAATAAATTGTCGAAAATTGACTGAATAAAAATACCACACCAAGCATAAATAAACTGTTTTTTTTTTGAAATTGGGAAAAAAATTGCTGTCATGAAACATTTTGAACTATAAATTGTTTTGGAGGTTTTTAACGTTTCGTGCAATCTGGAGTAAAGCATACAAAATATGGTTCCCTCGATTGAACCAAAAGTTAGGCGAGTAAGCCTGAATAAAAAATCACACCAAAAGTAAGTACTCCGTTTTGTTCGAAATCGGAAACAAAAAAGGTTAACCAACACTGATAGCCTACCATGAGCAGAATATTTGCGCTGAGAGATCGAGCGATTGGTTTTCATTGTCGAGAGAACCCAATTTTGGTGATAGATTGAGCAGTTGGTTTTCTTGAGAACTTAAGCAGGGAATGCTGGAAGACAGCTGCTCATCTAATTGGTTCTGTGACTTGATTAATTGAGTTAGCTAGATGCTCGTGGTGCCTCAAGACTCGGCAATATTCAACTGGAATTTGATTTTGATTAGTTGTTGATAGTTTTGATTCATAACTTAATCCGACATTCAATTATGCTAGCTGGGGTTGGTTAATATATTTTCATACTTGATTGAATGCTGCCGTTCGAAAGATTGGTTTTCGAGATTTGAGACATATGTAAAGATCGACGACAAATGTAGAAGTATATCGGGTACGGCGACCTTACGAATCGAAAGCAGAGGAAAAGTTTACGGGGTCAAGCGGATTGAATGCGAGTTCATGAAAAGCTTTATAAATAACCATTGTTCTCGTGTTATTCAAGTAAGCTTAGAACTTTTGCTCAGGCTTTGCTGGACTATCCAGGCAGGTGAAAAAAAAGACTAATATAGTGATCATCTTATTGAGTCTGGCCACCAGCATAGTTTTTTTTTCACAATTGTGGATTGCATTGCTCGCTATTGCTCTTCGCTATATAACTACAGTGCTGATTTAAATTATCCGGACAAAACGAACAAAACTTGAATTTTCAAACGCGTTTTTCTCGAATTGGGTCAAGATTAGACAAAAAGTGAAGAGAAGAAAAGTTGCTTAGAATTTCATCAGAATTAATATGATGCCATTTTTTCTCCAAAATTCTCAACCAAAGTTTAACCCCAAAAATGGGTCATTTTGGTTTTTTTCAATTAATCAAGAATTACGCTGAAATTACTTTGTTAATTGATAAGAATATTATATTATTAGAAGCCTCTTACGCAGCCCAACAAAGTCTTAGAAGGGTTAAATCTCCAAAAACCAGTATAAAAGAAAAAAATTTCACTTGATAATCAATAAATGTGATTTTTACTATATAAAACCCAGAATCTTTGCTTAAAAACAAATTTTACACAATTTGCGCAAATTTTTGGAGAATTAACCCTTCTTAAACTTTGTTGGGCTGTGTAAGTGGCTTCTAATGATATAATATTCTTTTCAATTAACAAAATAATTTCAGCGTAATTCTTGATTAATTGAAAAAAACCAAAATGACCCATTTTTGGGGTTAAATTTTGGTTGAGAATTTTGGAGAAAAAATGGCATCATATTAATTCTGATGAAATTCTAAGCAACTTTTGTTCTCTTCACTTTTTGTCTAACCTTAACCCAATTTGAGAAAAACGCGTTTGAAAATTCAAGTTTTGCTCGTTTTGTCCGGATAATTTAAATCAGCACTGTATTTAAAACAGCCTTTAAAACAGATTTTGCCATTTTCTAAAAAAATTTATTCCAGTGATGTCAGTCTCTTGTTTGTCAGTCTCTTGGTGATAATTTTCAACTTATTTGAACTGGATCAGTGCAATAACAAAAATGGATTTTACTTAAGTTTTATGCCAAATAGGTCATTGAAAAAACAAAACAACATCTTGCATGTTTTGATAGGCCCAATCAAGAACAAGTTAATTGTAAGGGGAAATTCTTAAATTTTTGTGGATGCTTTTGTGGTACAAGTTAAGATTTTCTACCCCCAGCAATTAATTCAAATTAAGTTTGCAAAGCGCTGCATGTAAAAAGCTCGATTTTGATTGGATGGAAATTGTCAACTTAGAACCAAGTTAACATCCCCCCAATGGCTTGGGGGAGGGGGGTGTTAACTTGTTTCATTTTTAAAAAAACAAAGTTCTGTTACAAGTAGGAAAGAGGTCGGTATTAAAGATATACACTTCATATTCCTTGACATGTTCTTTGACAGTTAACTCTTTTGAGGGTTTCGTGTAATGAATCAGTGTTGCAGCATTGCCGAAATTGCTCTTGTTTTGAGCGAAGATTTGTTCTCAATTTCTTT